ACTTGGGAGGGGGGTGGAGGAAGAGAGGTGGAGAGTGAAATATTTTTTGATGAAAGATAGTGAAAGAAGTATGTGGGGTTGAGGTGTGAATCCAAAAGAGTAAAAAAGCGTTACAAAGGTTTTTTTAGAGTTAAATTCAAGCTCATTTCTTGGGTTTATATAGAGAAAGCTAAGCATTTGTTGGTGTTTTAACTAATCATTAATTAACTTAAGTATGAATGGTTAAATTCCATTCAATATTTCTTCTGTGAAGGGAAACTATAACCCAACTTTCTTACCCAATTACCACTTCCCCTTTTTTTTGGGTTAGTGGATATATTTCTCTCTTTTTTTTAATCATCTCGTCTCTAAAGTTGACCTGGCTAATATAAATTCGCGTCGAATTGAGCCTATTTACGAGAAGAACACTTTCCACTAAGAATTTTTTCACTCACAAGGTTTAAACCCGAAATTTCTAGTTAAATGTAAAAGGATTTCATTCATCCCATCTCATTCTTGGTGATAACTGGATGCATTTCTAATTAAGAAGTTTTATGGTTGATAATATAAAAGATAACGATAAATAATTTGCCTTAAGGTGGAAATAACAACTTTGAAAATAAAACAGAACCTAGGGTTGTCTAAGAGGAGGGTTCTGATACTTGGATTGGGTACGGGGGCGGTACCGGTAAGGGGAGGGTTCCTTAAGGGGAATTAAGGGTACGGGATAAAGGGATTTTTAGGGTTACCGTACCAGTATCACTACCGGTCCTAGAGGGAGGGTACTTAAGGGGACGATAACGGTACTTAGGGGTATTTTTAAATTAAGATTTTAAAAATAAATACTATATTTAAACACCCAAATTTACGGGATAAAAAAAATTCAATACTTTTATTTCAATATTTATTAAAATAAATTTACATACTTCTTTTAAATGATTTACGGAACTTTTCATGACCTTTTGAAATAAAAGAGTTAGAAATATGTATAGATATCAAGAAGTGTACCCATTTCTAATCTTTGATTAACTCTCTGATTAGTGTTTTTCAAATGCTTAAATGCTTGTACGTTGCTTACTCGATTTGATGTTATTAATGTTAACATTATCAGTTCCAAAAAAGAGGTATTCGGTAATTGTTGCTGAGCTTTGGCTATTAATTCTGCTTATTAATAATGCAGTTGGTAATTTAATTGTTGTTTGTCAAACACTAGGACTTTGGGGTGGTTGGTTTAAACCTTGACTATATTCACCTAATATAATTAGTTTTACTGTATGTTAGGACAATTAGCATAGGGACCAACATATGAAAATTTAGTCTTGTCAACCTGTGAAAGAAGAAAAGAGGAAAAAGAAGAGTTTATACTTTCAATGTGTAACCATATTTTACGTCTAGAATTAACTACTACTAGGATTTTATCTCCTTCATTAAAGGCTACTTAACAAATGATGCTTTTACTTTAATTTCTACTCCTTCCATTCACTTTTACTTGGCATGTTTTGACTTTTTACGCCCCTTAAGAAATAATAAATGAAGTGTATAATTTACCATGATATCTATATTAATTGATGCATATTTTATTGAATTTGAGAATAATTTGAAATGAGTAATAAATATGTATTGGGTAAAACTGAGTTTATACATATTGAATTGATTGAAAGATGACATGTCATGACACGTAGGCAGGTCAAAGAATGATGATTAGCAAAGAGACACGAGTTGCAACAGATACGAGCGGAAGCACAAGAAGAAGCACGAGCAAATATTCAAAAGACTCGATGCTCGTACCTATTTAAGTCTAAAAGCTGAGAAGAATGAACCTGACAGCACAGGAGAGCCCAGATACAGTGTTTAATAAGCATTAAATACTGAAAATGTTAGAGAATCTGTATTAAATTACAATGATTATGTAACGTAGCATTTAATGCCTTTAATCGTCCATAATGACCTTATTATGACAAAGGCAAAACGTATAACTTAAAAATAGCTATAAAAGGGAGAAGACTGATCATTTGTAAGGGGACGACAATATCATCTGAATATACTGGTTTACTTTATTTTCTGCTATCTATTGGTTATCAAAATCCATTTCCTTTATTCATTTCCGATTATCAGTAACCCGAGTTCTTCTAAAAATAAAGCTTTGACTGAAATTCCATTTTTTGGTTAAACAAATTGGTTCCGTTACCGGGAATCTGATAATCTATTCTTTCTTAACCTTGTCTATTTCGTTACATCAACAATCATGTCAAATGTTAACGATAACACCCAAGGAAACCAAGGAAATCATCAACTCCAAGGGGACCCACAAGATGTTCACACTCCGATTCCTTCTCCACAAAGCTCGCCTCGGCGGTCTCGAGAAGGAACTCCTGATGGATCTCACTCAAACACAAATGCTCAATTTGACAACAATGAAGCTATCAATGAAGTTTTGCAGAAGCTGATCGCTCAACAAGTCAATAAAGCTCTTGAGGCTTTTGCCAGCCAGTTACCTGTTGCACCATCAACACCAATTCCAAATACGAACACCTTGGAAAACCCTCGTTCTGGGCTTGTTAATTCAGGCAGTGGTGGAATCCCCAGTGCTTCACGGGATGGAGAACCAGGTAACTTAGTCAATTCCGATTTACAAAATTTAGTTTTAACGTTGCAGAAGCAACTCAAAGAGCAAAGTGACCGCATAGAGAAAATACCTGGAGTACCGCCTGTAATCAAAGGAATAGATATGGATAAATATTCACAGCAACCTTGGAAGCCAAGCGCTGCTCCTCTACCGATAATTCAAAATGCCCGATATTCCAAAATATGATGGAACAACTAATCCACGAGACCACGCGACGGCATTCACAACTGGCATAAAAGGCAACGACTTGACCAAAGAAGAAATTGAATCAGTATTGGTCAAAAAATTCGGTGAAACACTCACTAAGGGAGCATTAACATGGTATTCTCTTTTACCCGAAAATTCCATAAATTCTTTTGCTGAGCATGTAGAATCATTTATCAAAGCACATTCGGGGGCTCAAAAAGTCGAAAAGAGAATGGAGGATATTTTCAAAATCAAACAAGGGGACTCCGAGTTGCTCAGAGAGTTCGTGGATAGGTTCCAGCGGGAGAGAATGACGTTACCACGTGTACCAGATAATTGGGCAGCTATAGCTTTCAGTAGTAATTTGAATGAGAAAAGCACAGAAGCCACGAGGCGACTCAAGGAAAGTCTTCGTGAATTCCCAACAATGACATGGAATGACGTTTTCAACAGGTATAGCACGAAGTTAAGGATCAAAGAAGATATTATTTCACGATCTCAAAAAGAAGAAAAGGTAAGTTCAAGACGGACAGAAATAGAAAAAGGTCCGGTAAAATTAGGTATGAACCATATATGAGCCCAGCTGGAAAAGATTCACGGTCAAAGCATGATCATTCAAGGTACGATCATAGATCTAGAAATAGAGAATCGGGCTCATCATCGAGGTATGAAATGATCGTAACACACGAGAGTCACGAGATGATGATAGAAATTTGAAGGCACGATTTGGCAGTTATAATTTTAATGTAAGCACTTCCGAGCTCGTAGCTGTTTTAAGAAGCATGGGTGATAAGGTGCGGTGCACAAAAGAAATGAGGTCAAATCCAAATAGACGCAATCCCGAACACTAGTGCAAATTTCACAACGATCATGGTCACAAAACGACAGATCGTAGGTTGCTACAAGGTGAAGTTGATCATCTGTTGAAGCAAGGATATCTCACTGAGTTATTCAGTGAGAAAGGTAAGCAAGCATACATGAAGAATAGGCAGGAGCCCCCTAAACCGGCTTCTCCAAAAAGGACCGTTAATGTTATAAGCGGGGGCGAAGAAATCAATGGTGTGACGTATACAACAACAAATAAAGTTTCCAAAGTCACGATTACCCACGGGAAGCGGGTGCGACATGTATTAGAGGAAGAAAGTATTACGTTTGATGATGCAGATGCGGATGGCGTATTAACTCCACATAACGAGGCACTGGTAATATCTTTACTTATACATGACACTAATGTGAAACGTGTTTTGATTGATCTAGGTAGTTCCATGAACATTATCCTACTAAGAGTACTACATGAGATGCAAGCTGAGGATAAATTAGTACCAAAAGCGCATACTTTGTCTGGATTCGACAATTCCAGCGTTGTGACGAAAGGGGAAGTAATACTTACTACATTCGCAGAAGGAGTTGTCAAAGATACGAAGTTTCAGGTAGTGGAGATGGAAATGGCTTACAACATAATTCTAGGGAGGCCATGGATCCACGAGATTGATGTTGTTCCATCAACCTTACATCAAGTCATTAAATTTCCATCACCACGGGGAATATGTCAAATCCGTGGAGATCAACAGACATCCAGGAGCATCAACTCCGTAGCAGATTCAAGTACGAGAAATGAAGAAAAATAGCAATTACAGAATTCAGTTGAGGATACCACAACGCAAACCTCAACTGAACAAGGGCGAACAGATGTAGATTCAAGGCCCGATTCCATTGAAGAACCAGAAGGAAACGAAAATATCAAAACAACGATCGAAGAGCTGGAGGCTGTAGTATTATTTGTACAATGGCCTGAAAGNATCCACGAGACCACGTGACTGCATTCACAACTGGCGTAAAAGGCAATGATTTGACTAAACAATAAATTGAATCAGTATTGGTCAAAAAATTCGGCGAAACACTCACTAAGGGAGTTTTAACATGGTATTCTCTTTTACCCGAAAATTCCATAAATTCTTTTGCTGAGCTTGCAGATTTGTTTATCAAAGCACATTGGGGGGCTCAAAAAGTCGAAAAGAGAATGGAGGATATTTTCAAAATCAAACAAGGGGACTCCGAGTTGCTCAGAGAGTTCGTGGATAGGTTCCAGCGGGAGAGAATGACGTTACCACGTGTACCAGATAATTGGGCAGCTATAGCTTTCAGTAGTAATTTGAATGAGAAAAGCACAGAAGCCACGAGGC